AATAAACGAGGGGCAGAGCAGGCACACGCGCGAGCTCGTTCCGCGGCTTACGCCGATGTTTACGCGAAGGGGGGAAAATTATTTTTCATAGTGTCACTCCCCTCGGCTGCTTGGCGCGCACCGTGCGTTTTTCCGTGCCTCGATCGTCCCGTTGTACGCTCTCGTTTCTTCTCGCGGCCTCGATATCGCTTTTCCCGAGTACATTGGTCGGCATTTTTAACAACGTGATCGTAGGAACTTACGGGCTACTAGCGAAAAGATGAGGTGCAGTTGGAAGAAATTGAAAAGATCGCACTTGAGTGTTACTAATAAGTATATCGAAAAATAATCGGAGCATTTAAAAATATTCACGGCACCCGGCGGTGGTACATACTCGAATGAACTTTTGTTCCTTTTTCATTCACGTGACGCCCGTGTATGTATTTACATATCGGGAAGAGCGACCCATCCTCGCACATACAAAACTTTCATATGCAGGACAAATGTATTTTATCTTTCAACAACTAGACTAACGAAGAAATTGAACCTTAACCCAATTAATCTTGTCCCATGTGGCATCGCATGGAAAAGTGGAAAATTTCTTCTTGTCGCTAACATTTTATTTGAATTCGATTCCCGAGTAAATTGTATGCGCATGTATGTGCTAATAATGCTTATCTGAAATGAAAAAATCAAGAAACATCTTCATTAGCAGAATAATTTTTAAATATTGAAAATTCAAAAAATTGAGAACATAGTTCTCTTTAGACGTCCCTGGCAAACGGGTTAAGAATCCTTCATTTCGAAGTTTATGGAATGAAATTTTCAAGGATGAAGTTGAAGCATATCAGCATTGAAGCATCCATATCCTTGATCCACCGAGGTCACCACTTACAATTAGACACTTACGCCTTACACTTGTCCTAATTGACAGTCCTAATTGACGAAATCGCTCGTAGCCGAGCCGCTGGTTGCAAGATGTAAGTTCCATTTTTTTCTGCGTTCTTTACGCGATCCCTATCTAAAAACAGGTTCGACCGTGTTGTTAACGAGTACTCTCGCGAAACGAGTGCTCCCTGCACACGTTATTATTTCCCGATATCACTCGTTCGCTCGGATTTAAACGCAACAAATCGTGTCTCTGGTTTTTCAGGTACGCGTTTTTCCGCATCCCGTCGGTACGCGTTCTCCGCATTGAACCGACTCCCCGAACGGTGTCTCTGGAGCTGGCTTATTCCTTTACTCTTTTTTTATTTTTTTCGCGTATTTGCCTCGTTTCCGAGCATGAATATGCATGCGTCTGTATTCGCGAGGGTGAGATATTTGCCGATGAGTATTATTTCGTTTTTGGTATTGTGCAAACATGAACGCCGCGGGTACGGAAATGGAAATTTTTTCGCGATTGCGTAGGGGAGGGTAACACCGACGGGATACGTGTAACGATGTGTAAATGTCAGATTCGGGTAGTTTTAATTTACGTGCTTGCGCTCGATATCGGCTCTTTATACGCGAGGTATCGCGTATAAAGGGAGGGTGTTTAAAATTTGTTAATCGCGTAACGTAGAATGTAGGAAGAGAGACGTGCAACTGATATCGCTGAAAACTTGGTTGGATTAAGTATATATTTATGCAAATGTCCGTTAGGGTGAAAGAACATTTTATTAATGAAATGTCTTTTCTATATGGCGCGCATTTATCTGGTTTAAAAGGTTTGGTTTAAGAAAATGGGACAGTCTACGATCGAGCTGATTTTTTTTTTATCATAGATAGCCCTTGACTTGGCGACAGTGTGTTCATTAACAATATTCAGTATTGGCGCCCCCGCCAAAAATTACCACAAACCTACTCGGACAGTATGTACATTGACGGTATTAAATATTGGCGCCATCACTAAAAATTCACCAAAAATTACCACAAATTTATTCAGACAGTATTTCCGTGTAGACAGTATATACATTAACAGTATTCAACATTGCCGGCCCACCAAAAACTACCGCAAACCTACTCAGACGGTAGATTTAGAGCCTTTTGCTATTATGTTCCTTCGCGTAAAAAAAAAGTTTGAAATGACGTACTTATCGAGATCGGTGCAAAAATCCACTTCTTGGATCATTTCAATTTTTGAGCCTCGGTGTGAGAGGTGGGAGTTAAAGGATCAAGATGGCCGCCATTATAATCTCCAGGTCAAGGGCTACCTACATTAACAAAATCTTAAAATCGATTTCCTTAGACTCGGTCCATGAAAAAAATATAAACTCAATAGATCGTTACCATCTCCAGGTGTGCTTAATTTGAAAGCCTTTGAACAGTACGAATATATTTTAAACGTAGTAGATACACTTTTCTATTTATCAACGATACTTTCATCTCATTTATAAATACAAAGATGTTGATATTCAATTATATATAAGTTCGTCTGCCATATGGTCTCGTCATTCGCACACCCAGTAAATCGATGAAATCCTCAATCTGCTTACGACGCATAAACAAGGATTTTGCGTAAACATAGGCTCTCGTCCGAAACGTTTGAACCTCTCCCGCAAAAACGTATTATATATTCCATGAATACACAACGTTTCATCAAAGTTGTCGCTTGACATCTGGATATTCGTTGTCCGCGATTCGTGTTCTCCCTTCCGTCGAAAAAATAGCGATCTCTACGAGACCGTGCGATTTATAAAAGCGCGTGCGTCCTTAACCGGAGCAATTTCGTCCGACATCGTAAAAAACCGCGGTACCGCGGTGCATTCAATTCACGCGTAACACCTCGCTTTATTGCAACGTTCCGCGTGCATTTTTATACCGCGAACACCTGTTTCGAGGGCGCCCCGTTCGCTTGATACTCGTTGTTTTTTACCCTTGCTAAACGATCGCGTATTCAGCAGTTACTCGCTCCCGAAGAATGCCCAATCTACGTTCGAAAAAGTACTTAAGCATTTATGCGTTTTCTTCTAAATCTTTTACAACGTCGCGAATTACTTATTCGTTACATGTTCGTGCAAAATTCAGAAATTTTTCGACGTTACACCGAGTTCGTTCGCGCTCTAAAATTCATCGATGTCATTGTTCGTTACAATTTGTAGGGATTTCGCAATGCATGTGTTCATAGATAGTTGTCGATGGATATTTATGAAAACGACAACTTCGTTAAGAAACTTACAAAAGGCAATCACAAAATTCTCACACGTATCCAATAATGCAATTCGTGTATTCGTTTGTGCATTCAAAGATTTGTAACCTGTTTAGAAATACAATAATTCAAGTAATTAGTAATCTCTTGTAAATGTATACAGATTATAAAAAATTCCTCAATTATTCCAGTGTCTCAATAATTTCTAAAATGATCACATTTATTCTTCGGAGCAAATAAAATACAAGTTCGGAACAATGGATTCGATATTTGGTACATACAAGGTACAAGAATAATCACCACAGGATACAGTGTATCGAGTGACGTATATTCAGTTCCTTAGATATCAATCGCACTTACGAAATCATTCTCATTTGACCCCGTTTCTGCACGGGTTCGATACGCAGTACCAATTCGTCCAGAAATTTTATTGGAATTCAAGTTCCAAACAGAGAATGATCGGTCTACCAACACCGTTAACATGTTTGCTTCGTCAACAACAATGACCGATGTTGATTATACGTCGGTGCGTCTGAACATTTTACAACGCGGCACGAGCGGTCCAGAAATGTCGAAATTGGTGTTTACAAGGCAATAATGGGACAAGGGATCGGGTAAACATGAACTTCGGTAGTAAAATTCAATATTACGTTAATGGCATATTATTAACGGGAAGCTGTTGCCTTTAACGAGCCCAGGATACACCGGAAACATTAAACATTTCATGGTCGCTCTGCTACCGTGTATTTTCCGCTTTTACAAGTCTTACTAGTCTTTTAAAACGACCTGCGTTGAACGCTTCGATGCTGGCGGCGAGTAAATTTTCCGGCGTTTTATACTTTACGGGGGATGTTCTTTCCCCAAACGGAACAAACTTTATCTTTTTTTTTTTGTTTTTTCTTTTAAAAGAAACAAGAAAGAAAAACGAAGCGAATCAACCTTTTTTCGCGTCGCGGTAAATAACGATCGTAGAAAAAAGTCGGAGATAAGTTTACTTCCTTCCGTTCACTGTGGAGTTTATCGTACGTCGACTTTGAGATTTTTTTTTAATAGAATGTAGTTAATTCCTTTGGAATAATAAATGTCGCGTACTTGGATCTTACTATCCATGAAGGTATCGTTAACGATATACGTGTGTTTGAATCTGAGTTTGAATAGGAATCGAAAGGAAAATTTTGTACTAAATAGTGTGATCTATTCACTGAGAATTTGAGATTGAGAATTTTTCCCACCGAACCTTTGCGTATGGATAAGTACACATTTTCGTACTCTTTTCTATTCAGTTTTCTGCGTTATTCTGATATTGTATTCTTTCTTATCGTTATTTTAAGTTCTCATCTAAGTTTATACCTAAACAGGGCATCCCAGAATTAATTAGCTGAGACGATTCTGAAGCACAATTTCCTTCGCGAAAAAATGTCGGATAGTGCTTCGTTTTTGAATTATTAACAAAAAGTCACCGACCGATCACAGTCCTGGCGTTCTCGCAATTGAGCGCGCGCTACTCGCTGCGATTGATCGGCGGTTTTTCGTTAATAATTCAAAAACGACGCGCTATCCGACATTTTTTTGTAAAGGAAATTGTGCTTCAGAATCGTCTCAGCTACACTGGGACACCCTATATATTTCCATATCTAGCGTCCACCTAATATACCTGAACCGGATTAAGATCTCATACATTAACACGATGTCTTGATAACCATGTTCTTATTATATAAAGAACGAACAATTTTCCTTTCCCGCGACACTCGCCTATAAATATTCGTTTCAACACTAATAACGTCTACCCATTCGGATCGCTTCTTGTAAAATAAACTAAAATCCATGCCACGGAGAACAAACCACCCGTAGCCGAGTTACAAGAAAGAGTGCCTGTTTTGTTCGTTTTCAGAACAACAAGAAGAAGGCACCAACGTCGCAAGGTTCCTCTGATCAGACGCGACTCGGACGACACGTCCGACGAGGTCGTGTCTCTGCACGACCGTCAGCTACGTTCTATCGAGTTCTACGACATGGAGCACAAACCGAAGTATTTGGCGAACAAACGGGGAACCACGAGACACGGGTTTCCGAGCAGGACGAGGAGAGCTGCGACGGCCCGCAAGGAGCGCGTGTGGGACCATGGCGTGATACCGTACGAGATCGATGGGAACTTTTCCGGCGCCCACAAGGCATTGTTCAAGCAAGCCATGAGACACTGGGAGAACTTCACCTGCGTGAAATTCGTCGAGAGGGTCCCCGTCGAACATCCTAATTATATACTTTTCACCGAGAGACCGTGCGGGTGAGTTTGCCAACGCGTCGACGGGAACGTGAATTTTAAAAATAGAGAAAATTCTTATTTTGGAGACAGACGAAAAACGAAGAACGTGTGCACTGTTCGTTCGATTAAAATTAAAATTTTTACGAGTTTCGAAGGCTAGTGATACTTTTGAACGATCCGAGGTAACTTCATAGAGGTTCGTTCGAGATTGATTATCAAAAAATTCGGGGAACGAAATTGTAATCAATAGATTGAGGATCTTTATGCGAAATAAAATCTTTGCGAACGTGCCTACGAAAATTGAACTTGAACAGGAATTGATTTTATTCTGAAAATATTATAACACGAACTTTACTTTCGATCTTTTTTACATTCTTGCGTATTGTTTGCAATTTGTAGTTTCTCGCACGTTCAGATTTCCTGTAAATGAATAAAGATCCGCAGTTTGGTAATTAATAAATGAGAAATTATAATAATATGCAAGATCTTGAGTATCTACTCCTGTAGAATACTATGTATACAATGAAAAAGATTGAAATTCTTAAGAGAATTTAGTAGCAAATTTATTACGACAGCCTCACCTTACGTGTTTCATTTCCGAGAATTTGTTTCACCGCAATCGAGATCAAACGCCCATTTTTCTTTGCATCTCGTATTTCAGTTATATTTCCATTTTCCGGAAATGTAACGTCCGACGTGAGCGAAATGATCGCATTTTGTTTTTTCATATGTATATACGAATTTGCATGCATAATGGACAAAGAGCGAATGTATTTTGCTTTATTTTCCAACTAAATTCCCAGATGCTGTTCGTTCGTCGGGAAGAGGGGAAACGGGCCGCAGGCCATAAGCATCGGAAAAAATTGCGACAAGTTTGGTATAGTCGTTCACGAATTGGGACACGTCGTTGGCTTTTGGCACGAGCACACTAGACCCGATCGTGACCGCCATGTGCAGATTATTCGTGACAATATCATGTCCGGTGAGTTCAATTTCCGATCTAATTTTATCTTGCATCTATTGGAAAAAACAGTAAAGTAGATGAGAGGTAGACAGAAATTCAATTTTCAAATCACGTTGTAATCGGAACTAAACTGTCGTTGGTTGATCTCTGACTGTACAATGGCAAACTTGTACACGACACCCAGAAATAAATCGATTAACAGAACCTTCGTTGTAACTTCGAACCGAACGACAAGATGGAATTTGTCAACTCTAGTCAACTATTCCTGTTCCTTGCATAGACTCGGTTGCGGAGTTATAACAAGATTTGTGCTTTTCTGTCCGTTGATTTTGTATTCCGTCGATACTATGTGATCGATCAAATTTATACAAGCGTTAGGTTGTCCGAAAAGTTTCTTTCGCTTTATTAATAAGTAATACGTGCACGATAGTTTATGCTTTATGTTACGTTACTGAATGTTATGTTACGTGCACGATTCATTTTGCTCCGTTACTGTTGCAACACGAATATCTATGAAATTAGATTGTCTATTTATATAAACACGATCACATCAAATAATCGAGTGCAACACGCGAAAGAAACATTCGGGACAACCTAGTACTTGAAGTACGCACAGGCACGTGAAATAAGATTGTATCGACAGGACAGAGACTATTTTTTAATCAAAATATTTATTACTTATATAATACAATTAATAAATTGGTGATATATAGAGAATGTATATGATACATATCGTACTATTACAGTAGTGTGTATGTATACAGAGCGTCCCACGTAACAGTTTTCACGATTTTTCAAGTACTTGCGATAATCCGACAAGGAAATATTTGAAACAAACATGGATCAGTTTACGATTGACTATAACATCGCAATTAAAAAAGTTGGAAAACAAAATTTGTTAGCAGTGCCACACCCTGACACCCTGTATAACTAAATCGTCTATCTTGTAATTCTTAACAATATTGTTTAAAATGTTATCGTGGCAACAATTTGTACGTAAATAGACATAGAATCGCAGGAATATATCGGACGTATTTTACATCGAATTCGCACAAAAGTATTCCTCCGATGTTTCATTCTCCATGGATAAACAATTAACGACCGGTACAAGTGAATTTATCAACGAATAACAGTAAGGTTAAGGGATTAATGTTCACCCCATGATGTCCCTCAGCAATAAATGCAATGCTCGCACCTGTGCGATCCGAGCGTCCCAATAGCACAGGCGAATCTTTGCCGTGTCGAACGTCCATGTCACCCACGCCTCTTACGAGCTCTTCGTCAATGCTACGTAGAGCGGATGTTTGGCGAACGTGAGACGGTTTCTGCTGGACGGGGCAAGTTGTGCGCGCATGGTTCACCATTCGACGACGGTTGGAATTGTTCGCTGGTTTGCTCTCGCAGCGAATAGGTTTCCATTTTAGATTAATGGACCCAATTTGGCGAAGGTGGTGGGCAAATCTCACCCATCATTACCGGCGACAACTAACCGGGGCCAGTGTTCTAATATTTACACGCTGCGTGACAGTCCCTGGACACGGCGATCGCGGTTCGATTAATGGATACTCATAACGGGAATGGTAACGAGCTGTTTAATTAGCGAGACAGCTACCACCAAGCACCATCTGTTTGCTCTCTGAAATTACACCTTGAGAGCAGTACCTCCGGACAAAATGTCACGAATTCGCGATATTACGCGCGAACGTTGACTCGATCGTGATTATCTTCTTTGCAACACGGGGGCGAACTCGGGTCATCTAGAAAATCTCCATTCCGGCACGGTGATTAGCATCGGTGATCACCGTGCTTCAGCAATTCGCCATATTTGCACAATCTTCGATGACCAGAGCGTTCTATATTAAAGTTTTAATATTTTCTTGCAAGCAACATATTATAGGATCTTATTAGATGATGGTAATGGATAGTATTATCGCTGCAGTGGCGGTGCTGGGTTATAGTTAAACTATCGTCGGTGTAGGTATGAACTAAGGTAACGCCTTCGCTGTTTGACGCTCTGACTTTCGCTGATCCCTTCGCTTCCGAGAGCAGAGCGTTCTATATTAAACTTTTGATATTTTCTCACTAGAGCAAGCAACATATTGTAGGATTTGATTAGATAATGGTAATTGACGGTATTATTGCTACAGTGGTGGTGCTGGGTTATAGTTAAACTATCGTCGGTGTAGGTATGAACTAAGGTAACGCCTTCGCTGTTTGACACTCCGACTTTCGCTGATCTCTTCGCTTCGCTCTCTGATTTAAAACTAAACTCTTGCATTCGTTCAGGCGTGTCTTCCTTTTACTCTTACATACACACACGCAAACACTCTTATCATTCATTCTCAATCTGACGTCTAGGAGGCCTCGGTTTAAACGTTCGCTCGATTCCATGTGTTTTCTCCCAGGTACACTTCGATTCGAACTCGTTCTTACACTTTACACCCAAGCACCCTTGTTTGACATTCGGATTAAACTTTCGGAGTAAAGTAGTCCAAAAATAAAGTCAATGATTTCTAGTACCCCGAAGTAAAGTTTAACCACTCTTTCAAATTTTAAAAATGCTTCACTCCTACGATTCGACCAAGCACGCTTTGGTTGATCCTTTAAAGTCTCCATTCGGTTATTTCGATGATCCATCGACAATTGAAGGGCTGCACCTCGAACAACACGTTGCGGACCGTGTCGCGGCGGAGAGTAGAGTTGCTGGAACAACAATCGAGAGCTACGTACTTGTTTCTCTGACGTATGTCCTCGTTGTGTACCGGAAACGGTTGACACTGTCGAACGAACGCTTTGGCAACAGAAGTTGGACGGCCAATGGGATCGATCGCCTTTGTTTCTTTACCTTCGATTGTGGCTCGTGCAGTCACGAGCCAGTTAGAGTTAGTTATTTGACGCAAGATCACGATGATTCAGCGTCAAATGTTTGTCGATGCTGGGTGGGTAATTTAGATCGTCCACGGGTTCGATTGAATTTATATTTAATGACGTATGGATTCGCTTGTAGTTACACGGAATTGTAATATGCAAATTTTTTGATAACGAGGTATCAATACCTTACGTAACGGTACCTGTTTATAAGATTTTTAATTACAATGTCTACCTATTGAGGCCTATTAACTCTTGAACGTACCAGTTTAAATTCAACAGAAATAACTTTCAGATATACAATATATCTGTATATATGTATGGAACACATTGACAGCCAACCAGATAATATACAGTGTGTTCTGTAACTGGTGGTACAAGGGTGTGATTCTACATAAAAAAATAAGCCGAAAAAATAGAATAAATATTTTTCACGCGTGGCTTTGTTTGCGAGAAAATCGACTTTGAAATTTCGCCGGGTTCACTCGATCGTGTCTCTTCGTAACGAATCTCACTGCGAATGAGATTGCTTTTGTATTCGTTACAATTTGGAGTAATTACTTTTGACTTATAAAGTAGTTACTTGCATAAAGTAGTTACTAGCATTCCTGATTACTTTGTTTTTAGTAATTACATTCTATCAAAGATTTCCTCTGTCTTAAACTGAATTTTTCTAGGGCAAGAGTACAATTTCAACAAACTGACGGAAGAAGAAGTGAATTCGCTGGGGTTGCCATACGATTACGATTCGATTATGCACTATGCGAAAAATACGTTTTCGAGGGGTACGTACTTGGACACGATTCTCCCAATGGAGAGGGATGGAAAGAAACGTCCCGAGATTGGACAAAGACTTCGACTCAGCGAAGGTGACATCGCTCAAACCAACCTTCTCTACAAATGTCACAGTAAGTTCCCATTGTTGTTAATTCGTTGCTATCGTTATTAGTTACGGTTTAAAGTGTAACACGTGATTAATTTTCTATTTAGTATTAACGTTAAACTTTCTACGACCACGAATCATTTTTCGATACAGAGTGTGGCCGAACGTTCCAAGAAAACAGCGGAAGCTTCGGTTCCCCGTCTCATCCGAATAGTTCGCCTCCTATCGATGGCGAACGATGCGAATGGAGAATCACAGCGACCCACGGCGAACGCATCGTCTTGAACATCACGTCCTTGGACATATTTAAGAGCAATTTTTGCCGAAGTGATTACCTGGAGATCAGAGATGGTTACTGGTACAAGAGCAACGTTCTAGGTAATAATACGTGATAACGAAACCGTGCGCAACGAGTACAATTTATATTTACCCCATTGGTTTAGTCTGAATCGAGTCCTTTTCAAACTGGATCATGTACACGATGCTTTGTATATAGGAATAACGAATTGACGGTTTAAAAACATTCTGCTTCGTGTGAAATAAAAACATTCAGATAAACGCAAAATGGATGTACAGAGTCACGCATCGCATACAAAAATATATAAATTAATATAAATGAAAATATATAAATTAATATAAAATACGATAAATATTCAAGGTAACTACTCCGAGCTGTTCATGATTATTTCCTATATTTCGTGCATATGTTCTCTAAATTTCACCCAACTCTGAATACGAGATTTAATACGTACGTACTTGAATTGCGAGTCGATTATATTTCATAGAAAATTCAAGAACAAGTCAATGGCTGGGTTTAATTCGCATTATTAATGTTCAGCTTGATCGTAACGCAGGTAGATTCTGCGGTAGCGGGAAGATCCACGAGCCCGTCGTTTCCACCGGAAGTCGGATGCTGGTAACGTACGTGACATCCAGTCGTCAGAGCGGTCATCGCGGTTTCACGGCGTCCTACGAAGCCGTTTGCGGCGGTGACGTCGAACTCGACGGCACCGGTCATTTGGAGTCGCCCAATTACCCGGAAGAGTACCAATCCAGCAAGGAGTGCATTTGGAAGTTGTCGGTGCCCGAGAACTTTCAAGTGGCTCTGAAGTTTCAATCCTTCGAGATCGAGAACCACGACAATTGCGTGTACGACTACGTAGAGGTTCGCGACGGTCATAACGCGGACTCTCCATTGATCGGGGTTTATTGCGGCTACAAAATACCACCGGACATTAAGTCGACCGGGAACAAACTTCTGGTGAAGTTCGTCAGCGACGTATCCGTGCAGAAGGCTGGATTTTCGGCCACGTTCATGAAAGGTGCAATTTCAGTCGATAACGTTTACCTCGTACTCGGCGTCGGGTTGAGCCAGACCTGGCCACATTTCGAGTAACATTGTTTCAAGTATTCTCTGCATTTATGCTCTTTTATCGAAATGGAAGCTTGAGTTGATTTTTAAACGAACGATGATCGAGAGTTTTTGTTTCTTTTTTTTTTTTTTTTTAACACTACCATAGTAAGTGTCGGAAAGTCGTGATCGACGCTCGGTGAATGTTTCAGAATTCGACGAGTGCGTTCTAATCGAGCATGGATGCGAACACGATTGTATTAATACTCTGGGCGGATTTGAGTGTTCCTGTAAACCGGGCTACGAGTTACATTCCGATGGGAAACACTGCGAAGGTAAATTACGTGGAAGCAATTCTCCTCTATCCTTGCCTGGTCACGTTAACATCCAGCAAAGTATTCGCTTCTTATTTTTGTGTGATTGTTCTCTAGAATCTAGAGTATAATTTTGTATATCGAGGAATTTCAAGTAACAAGTATCAATTGAGGGGTGTCCATCGATAACGAGAGTCAGCTCCGTTTCTTTCAAATTTTTGGGAAATTAAAAAGAATGTTTCGAAATTCAGATGTTTGACATTTTCGTTCTTTTTCTTTTTCATAGGATAGGTACCTAATTACGAAATTATGTCGTCCTGGATTCCATCCTTTTTTTTCAGAGTGGTGGGTAGAGGATTAACGTTTGGAGAATTTCCGAACGAAGGGAACAAAATTATCTCTCAAACACACGTTTATTTTATTCTAAAAACATTTGGCGATACAAACAAAGAATCGTGAAATTACTGCAAAATTCTTTCTTCTTCTTGCTCTGTCGCCGTCGAATCGTCAGTTTTCCTAGTGACCCGAACTGTCTCCTCGTCGCACCGCGAGAAAAAGAAACTTAAATCTTAAATCTGTCTCCTCCTTATCGCAACACATCCTTCAATTGTTTTTCAATTTGTTTTGTTTCTCGTAAATTATTTCCATCGATGTTAAATGACCGGTACTTTGAGTCGATTCCAATTAATCTCGACTAATCGAAACGTGGGTTACCATTAGATGCCTGCGGCGGAGTATTCGAAGACAGCAACGGAACCATCACGAGCCCCTCGTTTCCGGTAACTTACCCGGGAAACAAGGACTGCGTCTGGGAAATTATAGCTCCTCCCCAGTACCGTATCACGCTCAATTTCACTCATTTCGATCTGGAGGGCACCAAGGCGCGACAGCAGGAATGCGAATACGATTCCGTCGAAGTGAGCAGCAAGCTCGGTGACGATATCTTGAGGAAACACGGGATTTTCTGTGGATCGAGGTTGCCGCAGTTAATTACGTCGGAAGGGAACTTTATGAGAGTGACTTTCACGTCCGACAACAGGTAACGTTGTTTTTTTCCAAAGATACGAATTTTCGATTCAATTGTTTATCAATTCGTAAAGTTCGAGGGACGCGACGATTAACCAAGAGTTCAACCCCTAAATTCATATCGTATAAGACGGATACGCGCGCAATATAAATACAATTTATTTTTAAATTATTCTGGAAGTCTGGAAGTAACGATTGAAATTGTGAATAAATATAATGTTAACAAATGATATGGATCAATGTCAGATTGTACGTTTGTTTAATTGGGATAGAATAATTACTTTCTAAGTAGATTAAGTACCTAATTTTTCAAAGTTCAAGTTGTCGTAATTAAACTAAAGAAAAAATCGACTGTAGTTTCGCTCTAGATTCCAGTAGAAGTTCTTTTCCGTTTTGCTAGATGTTGACTATACTTGACGCAAAATCAATTAGTCGCTCAAGGACGTTGCTGACCTATCCCCACCATGTAAATTTGTTAGTCTGATACGCCATCTCTCGTTTTCTCGTACAAGCTTGGAAGTATACTCTGTTCATCTCTCAAATAGAAAAACAAACGAAGAATCACGTACCCAGTGGGTTTTGCGTCTGGCGTTATTCATACTTGGAGATGTAATCATCAACGTCCGATTGATTTTGTTGGTCCGCACCGATGGAACTGCGCGTGAATTTCATTCATAAATTACAGCTATTCGTATAATCGGGAAGAAAAAAAAAAAAAATAACATCGCGCATTAAAAATCAATAAAAAATTTAAAACAATCGATTTTATTTTACAGAGAAATTTCAAGTTAATTCTTTGGTTGATTCTGTAATACACTTTCGCAAATAAAGCAAGAGTTCTCGTACGTGAAAGTTGTCCCACTAAACGGAGTCGTTCTTTCTTCGCCCGAATTGTTCGATTTGTTGACATCGTGCGTTTTCTTCTTTTTGTATTGCAGTATTCAGAAAACTGGTTTCGCAGCGATTTTCTTCACGGACATGGACGAGTGCGCGAACAACAACGGTGGCTGTCAACACGAATGCAAGAACACGATAGGCTCTTATCAATGCTTGTGTCACAACGGTTTCACGCTTCACGAAAATGGACACGATTGCAAAGAGGGTGGTTGCAAATTTGAAATCGTCGCGCCAGTGGGCACTATCACGTCACCGAACTATCCGGATTATTACCCTGGTCTCAAGGACTGCGTTTGGCATTTTGTTACCAAGCCTGGTCACCGTATCAAATTAGTTAGTAATCCTTAATCACATTGTAGTAATATTTTTTCGACTGTGAAACGAACTCGCGTTTCCAAACAATTGGTATTTATTTAATATCATTATACGATATCGATATTGGATAATCAATATCGAATAATATCGATATCGAATAAATCATCGTAGTACAAATAAGTTTGTTTCGTTCTTGTTGAAGAAATTCACGTGTAAATTTCAAGTTAGCCGGATTACGAAATAAAACAAAAAGGCAACAAATTTACGGTCATGAATTGATTCGATGTTTCTTTTTTTAGGTTTTTAAAGTCTTCGAGATGGAGTCCCATCAAGAGTGCGCTTACGACCACATCGCTATTTACGATGGCGATTCACCGGACAGTCATATTCTTGGTAAATTCTGCGGTACTAAAGAACCACATCCGATTCTAGCGACCGGGAATCAAATGTATATGGTCTTCAAGAGCGATGCTTCCGTCCAGAGAAAAGGATTCCTAGCATCTCACAGCACTGGTAAGAGAATCTTTTCGCTTGAAACAGAGAAATTCCAAACAAAATGTACGAATAACTTGCGATTCGCTTTAAAAAAATATACGTTATATAACATTTTTCTATAGTCGTTCACTATTCAATCCAAACCTCGTCAGAATTCATCGCGATACCTTCTCGATATTATTCCAAACATTGTACTAAAATGTAAAAGACTTGCCACTGTTTATTTCCACTTCGATATCAGCAACGAGACACGAACCTTCTCGTGCTCTGTATAATCGTTGTAAAATCAAATTCGGCCATCGAAATCGCATGCCAATTATCACGTTTCACGTTTCTCCATTCGTAATAAATACTAAAACCAGTAATTTAATTCAAGTCAACCCTTTGCATTCGAGAGGTGACTCTCGGTCTAGGTTTTCTTTAGGTTTAATTTCTTTGGAACTCGAAGTGCCAATAAGACAAAAAAGGCCTCGAGTGCAAAAGATTAATCTGTTGGAAACGCGTGATGTCGAATAATTCTCGCTGCTAAATCCAGCAACAATTATATTCCTCAGCTTGCGGTGGCCATCTCGTTGCATCGAGCGAAGTGAAGCATTTGTACTCGCACGCGAAGTACGGCTACCATAATTACGACCACAGAACGGATTGCGATTGGGCGATCGAGGCACCGCCTGGCAAAAACGTGCACTTGACTTTCCTCATGTTCCAACTCGAATTCGAAAACGAGTGCAGTTACGACTTCGTCGAAGTTTACGCTGGCCTGGACACTTCCGGTCCCTTGTACGGACGATATTGTGGAAATGGCGTAAGTGTAACAGTGTTCACCTTTTCAGTTTTGTAAGTTGCTCGAGAAGGGCTTGCTTACGAGTTTCGCAAGGACTTTAACATTTGATACTACTTTCTTAACATTTACGGAGATTTTTCATTAGATTTCTATTACCGAAGTGTAATGCTTTAAGAAGGAAAAATAGCTTCGGGGCTACATTTTTCCAGCGATATGTATGAATTTTTATCTCGAGAAAAGAATACATACAATTTATCGAAACTTTGAGAAAACTTTATACGTATATTCAAATAAATATTGTAAAATTTTGTTGAAGTGTTTCCTCGGAAAATATGGAAGATACTGTTGAAAATCAACTTCGTTATTTTAAATGGAATGCTACATGTTTTATGTCAATATATCGAGAAACGTAGAATTTTAAGTAAAAAAGTATTGAATTTTAAGTAAAAAAGTATTAGCTCGAAACCTAACAGTTAAAAAGGGAAATGGGTTTAGGATTACGTTCCTTTAGTGATTTGTTGGAGTTTCTTTAGCAAGAAAGAAACGAATATAATTATATAGTTACCTAGTGTTAATTTTCTTTTGTACCGCTGACGAATCCAATTGCGTTCCAGAATGCGACCGACTTCGTATCGATGAACGAGGCGCTGCTGGTGAGATTCAGAACGGACGACACGATATCGAACAAGGGCTTCGTGGCGCGTTTCGTCGCGGTGGATCGCAAGGACAGCGGGGAGAACTATGGCGGTTCAGAGGACGAGGATCTCGACGAGGAGAACCTCTGATCCGTGGCCGGCCTCGCCAATCGACTGGGCTACGGATTCTACATCGGTTCACTCTTGCGAAGTAACGAACAAAGTGAAAACGAATAATGTTGCCCGGCTGTCCGAACAGAACGTTCAACGTTCGACGGAGTCGTAGTCCGGACGCGAGTGGATCCTGCTCGATCGACGAGGCCGTAAAGTTTGCGCACCTCTTGCGAGCACACCGAAACAAACCCAACCGCATCAAGTCGGCCGAATGATTATCCGTGTTCACGATCACCAGAAGGAAAAGCATAACTTTCCTTGAATCGACCCGAGGTCCTCGCGATCAGGAATAATTCGTTCCTTTTTGCGAGGCGCGTTAGCAAAACAGCTTTCCATTTGGAACGTAGCATGTACGACCCTGAAATTCGGCCTATCATTCGGGCCAATCGTGCCATTATGTGTTTAGGTAGAATTGCATTATAATGTTAACTCTCATAAGTTTCGACCCCGGTGAGACAGCACGTTCTGTTCAGGAGAAAGATGAATGTCACGACGTTGCCAAAACGGTGTTCCGTATTTGTTCGCGGAACACCGTCGATAGAGAGTAATTGTAAGTGATCGATAAACGACAAGGAAGGCACGAAATGTCGACAATTAAAGAGAATTCGAAACAAGTCGACGTTGTTCTCTCAAACACTGCCCCGCGATCGCATCAAACGATTCGACGAAGTCTCAAGATCGCTTTCTTCTCGGTCTGCGTGTATACCTTCAGATCCCCGGCTCTTTCCTCTTCGACGAAAGTGCTTCGCCATAACGGTGTACTTTTTAAGAGTTTCGCGTAAACGTATCCTGATAAATGGTTCTAACGTTCGCGCGGTAAAACAGACGAAAAGATAAACAATCCAGCGAAACGAGAGTATTCTTCGGTTGGACGACAGGCGCCGCGACACTTTTCGCTCCTGGACGTCTCTCGGTGGAAACCTTCCGAACGACAACTTGTGCAAATACTTGGGTAATCTAGATATTAATTTAGAGATAGCGCCGACCGGTCCTAAAGTCGACGATAGAAATTTTAAGGCGAACCTCGTACGAACCGTCTTAATGGAACTTTTCTGAGCGTAATCGAGGTTCTCGTCGAACGTTTATTGTACATAGATAAAACTTAGATATGTAGACGTCGTGCCGTTTTATATGTAGTCATAGGATCGACGAACGATCAAATATTTCGCTAATCGAGTGAATTTTTTCGACAGTTCTTGACTCTGTACTTTCGTCCGTGCTTCTCGATTAAATATCGCGGATTGGCGACGTACAGGATGGCTCGATTCATTCGATTCGCGCAATTATCGGATTTTGCTTTCGACGAAGCTTTAACAAATTTGTATCGTTGCCATTAACAACGTATGAAATATAGCGATCAGTAGATTGCGGATCTTTACGCATTTATAGGAAATTTGAATGTGCAAGAAGAAAGATAAAGAAAAGATTCAAAGTAAAGTTCATGTTAGAACATTTTCAAAATAAAATAAATTCCTATTTCGATACATAGATTCAATTTTTGTAGGCACGTTCGCGAAGATTTTATTTTGCATAAAGATCCGCAGTCTGCTAATCAGTATAGCTATAGCTTATATTCATAGAATAAGATCAAATTTATTCCAAAAATGTTAGAATAGAATATCCCTTGAAGAACACCGAAATTGTTCAGATATCTGAAAGACGGTATGCTCCCAACAGAGTTCTTTCGACGTGTAACATCCTCGACTAACAATTTTCAAAAGCATTCTTCGATATTACCGATGCTTCAGTCTGCGTGAATCGATTGAACCAAGCCGTCTCAGACAAAACAGGAGACTGTTGCTGTATGAAATTGTTCCGATCTGATTGTACGAATAAGTTAACCAATTAGAGAGTAACGATTTAATAAAGAAAACATCGGGATATTATACTCCGAAGAAGTGCAGCTAAAGTAAATAAAATCGCAATGATTTCGTCATAGCTTGTCCACTTGCTGGGAATATGATTTGAGTATTGGAAATTTTGTAACGACTCGCGGTTAAATAGTGAGATGGTAAGTTTGGAATGTCATTCTACAAATTTTTGCTCGGATTGCGTTCAAGCGTAGGACGAATTTGCGATTGCCGAAATCGCGTTACACGCGACGCCAGAAACGTATCGCTCGATGTTCATCGAGATACTCGTGCTTTCGACAAAACGAAAAACAAATGCTGTTCATTTGTACATTGTATTCGTAAAGAAATGCTGTTCTTTGTACATTGTATTCGTAAATCTCGCGGTCGCGTGCAATCTTACATCGCGTAAGGAAACACCATATACTTACAAGCAAAGACATCGGTGATGATATCATTCGAGTAAGGCCTTTCTTTTTCGAAATTTTATATATTCATCGTACGTAACGCACTGCCTCGTGTACGTTTACAATAACGTTACGCAAAAGTTGTTCTCGAAAACGACATCCGTTCAATGTTTCTTTTTTTTTTTTTTTTTTTTTTTCTCTGTTTCAATTACATCGTAAGACGAATACGGCCTATACCATAATCAAAAGGACATGTTTGTACCCGAACGTGAGTGGATAGACGCGCAGAAATGATTCAATTTGTTTGGAAGTGTGCGGTCGTGCGCAGCAAATGTACGTGTATGTGTGCGAGTACACGTATATGCAAATAATTTGTCAAAGATTCGTACGCCTAATACATACGTATAATAATATCTTATCTATTAACGGATGATAAGAGCAACATTAAGCGCCGCGTCAAGTTCCTTTTTGTAAATTATATGTGATTCATTTGTTCTCAGAAATACACGTTATAGGCACTCTATACATTACTAAGCAACGATATCGAAAGTACCCAGCCCACCTGAGAAAAATCCCTCGTCTTACAAAATATTGTTTTATTACAGGTTTCTTCGTGCATTTTACAAGATGTTATTAGAAGCAAAAACGTGACAGAAAAAAGGATCGAAAACAAGTAATCTCCTACGCGCGATAAAAATAAGTATGATCGAGTCTTGCCTTTACGCTATAAAGTAGTACACTATACTTTGTTTCAGTGTATGTGATACAAGACGCTAGTTAAAATCGAGGGTATAGTTTGTTAGACGTTTCAAGTACGAGATTAATCTTAAATACCGTACTTGCCACAATTATTGAACGATAATGGGATTCAGCTAGATAAATGTTGCATAGTTATTCTTATACATTTAATAATTTTGTAGGAACTGCATTATCCGTTGTTTACGATTTGGTATGAAATCTGGATGGGACCAGGTATCGGATGCGAGAGAAGAGTGAGCGTAAACGCAGCCTGGGATATTAACAACAAACTATAATAAAGGATTCAAACGCTACAATTTTTAAGCGTAAAATCGATCTTGTTTTTCTTTAATTTCAGATTTTGGCGTGAGAAATGAAAATAATATCTTTACAGAAGAAAGCAAAGCCAAAAGCAGAGCAACGTCCTTTTTCATTATTTCTCTTAATTTAATCATTTAAATTAACGTAGATAATTTATATTACAGCTTGAGGTAGGAGTGTCGTACTATCGGGCCACATTTTCTACTAAATATAATACTTTCTACTAAATATATAATTTTTATATTTCGGGACAAAGTGATGTCCAGTAATTCGGTAATGCGAATATCGATTTCAAGGTAGAACCGAGAATGCAAAAAGACTTTTGTATCGTGATACGATAAATCACCGATAGAGAAAAAGTAAATATTCAAGAACTATCGATGGCCACGTGAAACTTTTAACTTCGGTACAAGGAATCGTGCTACTTCGTGTAACTATATTCGGTGAACGAGATCGCTACAGATGCAAGGACAATGAAACGCGTGGTCGCTCCGTTACGTCATCGGGTACAGTTGTACTGATATTTTAATATCGGTGATCAACTTTCATGATCATACTTGATATCGATATTCCTGCAGACAATTTCAGACATAAAACGACGACGATTAACTACCTAAATAAATATCATTTCAATCAATTTAGTACGTTTCGATTATAACAAATTTTCATTTTCATTTGAACTGCACACGTTCCGGTTAATTAATTTTAAATCGAGAAAGTAGCAAAAATCGATACAATTCACGCTTTCTTAATCGCGAGATTCTAACATTTTCAATGAAAAGTGTTTCTAATCATTGTTTACTCGGATTTAACACGTAAGTTCAAAGTCCGAAGTTGAATTGTATAGCCACAGACCATTGACATTTACGTATTGTTACAAAGATGTCCCGTTTGGAGCGTAACAATTGACCTAGATAAGACTTCTTTTATATTTTACAAATACGACACATTTCAGTAGAAAGGAATTTCTGTCGCTTTAAGAAGTACCTCAGCCTAACGAACCCAATATAAAAACAGAACAACGATGCGTTCGAATACATGGTTCGAAGCAGATCCTAAGAGCTTTAGCTGTAATTGGTTCAATTCTCTCCTTTTTCTAGAAGTAACTTCACGAAATGACTCTATAGGTCCGTCCCGGGACTACCGCAATTATTTTGCGTGCACCTCGGTGCACAGCCGAGTTATTTTAAGTAACAATAGTCCGGGCCCCTCCCTGCGTGTCTTCCTGGGGAACGATCGTCGCAATTTGCTGCTTTCCTTCATCGAGACTGATCGAGACCTGACCGTCTGTGACCAATTTTAGAAAAAGTGAGCGGTCGTGTAGCACATGCGCTCTCGCGTACAACTCTCATCCTTCCTTGGTGCTCCTCCGTGACAAGGAACGTCTGGACGACCTGACGAAGCGAAAAAGTATAACCAAACGATACCACGCAGTGTTCCAGAAGCTTCTGCTTGTTTCTTTATACGAACTTCATATGATTCGATCAATTTTGATGGTAACAAAATTAATTGGGAAAGAGTACAATCGTACAATAGTACAATCGTTCATATAAATATTACAGTATAAATCGAGTTGTTATATTCTTTTACAGGAGCATTAAAGAATTACAGATACAAGGAATACTAATTATTCCGTTTTATTAATTGGGCGCGCATTTAATAAAAAAGAAGCTTTTTCGTTCCAACGTTTGGGTCAAAGGTCACTGACCTTTCTCAGAAACGAGTACGTCTTTTCAATCTTCATTTAATCCCATACATAAAAATATTGTAATAAATAACAGTACTTGAAGAATTGACTTTGACGTCGTAATAAATAATTATATTAATACACATATAGGTATTTCTGCAAGTTTAATAAATCAAATTGTGAGGCTCTTTTGTAACAGTTGTGTGGCAGTTTTTTCATGTTGGTGTTGAAAGACGTAGCTAACGTTGTCGTAATATTTGTGAGTGTATTTTTTATACTATACGGAAGATATTTTTCTTCAATTTACAATAGAGAAATATTACTACACTGAAAATACTGCAGAATAATACATTTGAAGTATACTTCAACCATATATATGTAAATTGTGAATAGACGCTCAGCAACGGTGCAATGTCTATTTTTAGCCAATGGGCAAGTTCAACGGCCATAAGCAACCGTGTTAGTTTTCCAACTAAGAATAAATTTCGCGTTGTTTTGCATTACTCTACCATGAACGAAACTTTATGTTTATTTAAAATAATCTGTTCAATCGATTCATTTGATGAAATCGTTTAATAATTACAGGAGTAATGTGATAATATGATAAAGAACTTGTGATAATTTATTCCTCTATGATATATATTTATAATAGTTATTCATTTGAAATTATACAAATAATTAACTAAACGATATTTAGTTAATTTAGTTAACGAAAAAATTCAAGTACTGCATTATACTACCCACTCAACTTTCTCTTCAGCATCTCTTCGCACGTTTATGGCGAGAAATTCTGAGGACAATCATTGCATGACACACAAAGATGGGAAAGTTAGCTTACAGTTACTTCATATTTACAATATCTAACAAAAATTTAATTTCTATTCGCCTCATTAAATTATCCTCTCAAGCAGTATTTTAATTTTATATGCAAAAATGGCCGTGTGAGAAGTGACACACATTGTTCTGGAATTTGGATTTAATCAAGATTAAAATCTAATTAGATAATTAATTATCTCGTGAGAAGTCTTAGAAACTCATGTCTTATCAAAACGCAGTAGCTGCTGTTAAAATTGTAGTAATCATACAACACGCAACGCGTTTCAACGACTCGTTTAATTAATTTAAAAAATGATGTCTTCATACAATCATGATCACATATTATGTATACGTTCCGAAGGACACGTACGTTGTAGCAAGAATACGGTACAACCTACTTCAAGTGAAACTATTATTACTTTCCTGAAATAACATGAAATGCCAAATAGAGTTGAGCATATCAAAATAGGACTTTCAAAATGCATACGAAGAACAGCTAAAATATTCAGCTGCGTTCAGCCATTAGTTTACGGTTTACTGCATTGCATGGTAGGTTCGATTCACACCCTGAATAAATTATACCACGGCTATTACGTTATTTCAACGCGAGGGTCTCCATTTCGAATCATCTGTTACCAAGTCAACGAACTGGTCATTGCATACCAATTTGCTCCCTATACTTGTCAAAATTTGTAAAATCAATAAAAGAAATGTCGCATGACAGAAACGTTGTACTATATTTTGCGTGCAACGAACATGCGCGGAGGCTGTGGTGTGCTGCGGTTGACTATCCGCCAATCGGAATCACGGGTGAGGTCATCGTCAGCCAATGACCGTGCGGCAAAAGAGTCGATAGTCGGGGGTATAAGATCCCGTTGCGGGCGTCTGTCGCGCATTAATCGTTTGGTGTTCGATCCGGTATTGTGTGCGGTTGATAGCAGTAGCTTCATTACTTGCTCTAACTATTGACTACCCAATTTCTACAAGAACGTAAAACACTTCTTCAGACTTCAAAATGGTAAGTGACTGATTCTTGAAAGTATCGCGCGTGAAAACTGAACGTACGCCGAGTTATTCGTGTTAAATGAAAAAGACGGTTAAGCTTGTGACGCTTCCACCGGCCGGCTCCGCCCTTTTCGTTTTCTTGGTCTCCTTTTGGTCTCTGAACAGTTAAAATTTAGCAGATGTCCATATCCTCTGTCGATTTCTCGTATTTGTTCCTATCGAAAGCGAATCTGTTATAGAAAATGTGACATGTCTAATTGTAAAGAGTATGAAGATTCCGTTGTTTGGGTGCGGAGCGGGGGAATATACGTGTCACTTTTTGTTAACGCGATCGATATTTGAAAGGAACGATTGCTATCAGAAATTCTCACAAAGGAATATTCACAATAAGTGAACATTCTATATTCATTGATAAAGTTTAAAATGCTGAGGATAGTATAGCATATATCAGAGTTCCATTTACTCGAACTGAAGACGCCATTGTATACTTTGTTATCCGAACACATTGGCGAGGTTTTATTATTTGGAATAAATTAATTCTAAACTATTTCCTGGAGAACTCAATACTAATATATCACCTTCAGCATTTCAAGCATTTAAAACAATCACACACACCCAGTGAATCTATATGAATAAGTTTCAGGGCATTTTTATATATTATATTTATTATAAATATGATATTAAACTTTAAATGAATATAACATCTAACCTAAACATGACAGAAAATTATATTATATATATATGTGCATAGAATTATATGTATTATGAAAATTTAAAATGGACATGAATATTGAAATCTTTAAAGCATCATTTACTAAACAATAGATGAACTAATGTATACTTCTCTTTTTTTAGCGTGAATGTATCTCAATCCACGTTGGCCAGGCTGGAGTCCAGATCGGTAATGCCTGTTGGGAATTGTATTGCCTTGAACATGGCATTCAGCCTGATGGTCAGATGCCATCAGACAAAACCATTGGAGGAGGTGACGACAGTTTCAACACTTTCTTCAGTGAAACTGGTGCCGGAAAACATGTTCCTAGAGCTGTTTTCATCGACTTAGAGCCTACAGTAGTCGGTACGTAATTATCATAAATTTTATGAACATTTTTTTCTATACATATGGTATAATCACTTCGGTAATACAGATTTTACAAAATTCTTTATTTCTCGTATATTTTTCTTTTTAGACGAGGTTCGCACAGGCACCTATCGTCAGCTTTTCCATCCTGAACAACTGATCACAGGCAAAGAAGATGCTGCGAATAATTACGCTCGCGGTCATTATACAATTGGCAAAGAAATTGTTGACTTAGTTTTGGACCGCATTCGCAAACTTGCCGATCAATGTACGGGACTCCAAGGTTTTCTAATCTTCCACTCGTTTGGAGGTGGCACCGGTTCTGGCTTCACATCTTTATTGATGGAACGCCTTTCTGTGGATTATGGAAAGAAGTCTAAGTTGGAGTTTGCCATTTACCCAGCACCCCAAGTTTCCACTGCTGTGGTCGAACCCTACAACTCAATTCTCACCACACATACCACTCTAGAACATTCCGATTGTGCATTTATGGTCGACAATGAGGCTATTTATGATATCTGTCGCCGTAACTTGGATATCGAGAGACCTACGTACACAAATCTAAACAGACTGATCGGTCAAATCGTTTCTTCGATCACAGCCTCGCTTCGCTTCGATGGTGCATTGAACGTTGATCTGACGGAATTCCAGACTAACTTAGTACCTTACCCAAGAATTCATTTCCCTCTCGTTACCTACGCACCAGTCATTTCTGCGGAGAAGGCTTATCACGAGCAGCTTTCCGTTGCGGAAATAACGAATGCTTGCTTCGAGCCGGCCAATCAGATGGTCAAATGCGATCCTCGTCATGGAAAGTACATGGCCTGTTGCATGCTGTACAGAGGAGACGTTGTACCTAAGGATGTCAATGCAGCCATTGCTACTATCAAGACAAAACGCACTATCCAATTCGTCGATTGGTGTCCAACTGGATTCAAAGTTGGTATCAACTATCAGCCACCTACTGTTGTACCTGGTGGCGATCTCGCCAAAGTGCAACGAGCTGTTTGCATGTTGTCCAACACTACCGCTATCGCAGAAGCGTGGGCTCGTCTTGACCATAAATTCGATTTGATGTACGCCAAGAGAGCATTCGTACACTGGTATGTCGGTGAGGGTATGGAGGAAGGTGAGTTCTCCGAAGCACGTGAAGATCTTGCTGCTTTGGAGAAAGATTACGAGGAGGTTGGTATGGATTCCGCCGAGGGCGAAGGAGAGGGAGCCGAAGAATACTAAACTGACCTTAATCACGGTTTTTAAACAAGAAACAACATGAAATAAACAAGCAAATTTGCAAATGTTGAAGTTTTATGATGTATGTTACCCATCCTTTGTATGATTTTTTGTATTACTTTCAATGACGATTCAGTTTACGTTCATATTTAAGCTGTTGAACAGTATTAATTAAAATACGGTTGCTTGAATATAAAAGTATTTCACTAGCAAATATTTACGCCACTATGTTAGTATGTTTCAATTTCTATATTTAGTAACAAAGTGAGTAATACATATTTAATTTTCGTACTTGATAATGATTCTTTTTTAGTATTCATTAATTTTCAATAATGCCATGAATCAACCGGTTCAGAACGTAAAATACGTTAATGATAATCTTCAACAAATTGTCGAGTCGAATATATTAGTAATACTATAAACGCATGGATAAAGATTACATGACTTTGATGCTAGGAAAGAAATATATACGGAAACTTAAGAACGCGGAAATTTGTGGTTTTATACACGTTATCAATACTCTTCAGTCGACAAACATATGTCTGCGTAAATGTTCGTACTAGTATGTTCTATTACTTTAAATATAATTTACGTAGAGTTTGTAAAAATACAATAAAATTAAAATATAACAGAAAATTAAATTTAGCTATTAAATATTACAAGTTTTCTTGTAAAAATAGAATCATTTACATTTTTAAATAAATGAAAAAAAGCAGTATTTTGAGAAAGACGTTCAAAGATTGAAGTTTTAAAAATATCACAAAAAAATCGCGCCATTTTCGTAATGCATATTTTATTTCTCGTTTGGCGCACTATTCGATGCCGCGAAGTAATGTCTATTAATGTTACATTGTTGAATTTTTCTTCGTTTTACTCATACCGATCCCGTTTCGTCTGGATATCTTGAACGTATCATCTCTAAAAGTTCAACAGTCTCTATCGAAATACATTTCAAAAATAAGCTCTACCTACGTATGATAGGCATGCAGCGAAGAGGTGCTTAGTCTAATAATTTGTTGCGGCCGTTCGTGTTTCTCTTATTGCGCGCGTAAGAATATCCCTTCTAATTCCGTTCTGTCTTGGTTTATTACACGTCGGTTCGTTCTGCTTTACTCTAATAACAAGAATAGATATCTTACTGAGAATCCGCCATGAGCCTCAGCTCCTTACACTTGTCGCGAGCACGCATGCGTAGTACGACAGTGCACGTCGGTGCATGTCGGTGTGCACAGTGGTGTGCAAGGCGGTATTTTGTTAACAAAAAAAAAAATTGGCGGACTCGTTGTTTTAAAAATTGTGCGAATGTTACCAACGAATAAATAATAGTGCGTTTAAATGGATCGCCCATCAATTCAGGATCATGCCGAGTAATATGAGTGAGTGAACGCAATATTACTTAAAGTTTTCAGTAACGTTTACCTCGAGAAAGAATGTAAAAAACCAATTGCTCGAATATCGATACAATATTACATCGATGCATCGATGCGCGACAAACATCGAGTAAAATATGTTCGAAACGCGTCCGGACAAGTGGCTCGGGACAGGTGTATCGATATCCTTCAGTATATCGATATATTGTTTGCATATCTACTTGCAAGGCAAGAAGCTGGTGCCTTGGATGTATGCAGTGGAGTGCAGCCCCTCCAACTTTTAGTTCTCGTTACAACGTTCTCCGGTTTCCTCAATCACGTTTTTTTCTCCTGCGCTGAATAATGCATTTAGAGTGAGACGATATCAAAGAATGCTAACTTTATTTCATGACTACTCACTAGAAGAATGAGTGAGTATTCCGGTGGGGGTCATGAATGTTTTCGAACGACTTCGTAATTTCTTGTGTGCTTATCTCGTAACTTAAGCCGCTGCCTATGCGAGACTATTGTATTTCTGATAAAACTTGCACACCTTGCCACCTTACGTACACGAAATGCATGTGTATACAATGTGTACACATTACACGTCTAAATGCTGTATGTACACGTGTGTTAGGCCAATGTGTTCAAGATAATACAGGTTGAAGTAATATCGTGTCGTGTTGCGTCTAATGCACTAGGACTAAGTTATTTTTTCTACAATTTTAGAGTTTCAAATATGGTATAACTCATTTTGGTAAATTTTTTCGCGTACACGGAACGTAGTATGTTCTACTTAGTAGGTGAACGATGTGACAACACATTTGACAGTCTTAGAAGCACTCAGAAGAGCAGAAAGCATTTTTCTAAGCAACGCTCTTTAGGTTATATTCTCTTCTTTTGTTGTCCTTTCGGAAATTCAAGTATGAATAAGTGCAGCTACTTTCGTTTACAAATACAAATAAAAAACAATAAATAAAGATACGTACGTATGTTATTTTATACTTGTTAAACTTTCCCTACTATCATAGTGATATGTATAAAGTGACATCAAAACTTTAATTAGATAGGTAAATGTTTTGCACCTGTTAATGTTTGTATTTACTCTTATATATTTGATGTCGTCTCTATATAATGTCTGTTACATTTTTATATCTCAAATTCATAATTTAAACATGTATGTAAACATATATTATTTTATAAGCTATACATTACATTTATTGATATACAATACATTGTTATAATTATTTCTCTAACATGAATTTTGTGTGCTGCAGATCACTGCAAAGCCATGAAGATGAGCTTTTCCTTAACATCGCTCCAGCCGATCGGCAGTGGAGCAGACAAGCATGGCCAAGCAGGGATAACGATAGAAAGACCATACAACAGTCTTACAAAGAAACGGTTTGTTCTACATTATATCTATTTTTATTCATTTATAAAGTAGCTATTATTTCAGAACCAAAAACTATAGAATATTCATTTACATTACAGGAAAGATTCAAAGCAATTTTCCAATCAACGTTTGTGGACAAATCGTGAGGATGGGAAAGATGATTTCTGGGCAGCGATACGATCAAACTATGATTACATTATGGACACAAATTTAATAGATAGTTGCAAAGTATGTGTGTTATTATATTATAATGTAATCAGATATGAACAGTATATTGAAAGTTCTCTTTGAAACAAACAGGAAGCTAATGGTGAATTAACATGGGACGAGACTGATGTAGCTACACAATCGTGGAATTTGAAAGAAGTCAGTAGTCAATTTTCAGAGCTATATTCATGGCTAAGAGTTCTACAGGAATTAGTTTATTCTAAGGAAGAAAATCTGTTAGACAAAAGTCTGCGTGCGGTATGTATTGTTCAGATATGTAGAATATATCTTAGTCATTTATTACATGATTAAGCATTAGAATAATGGTTGCATTAGAATAATGGTTGCAAAATGTATATGTTAGGCTCACATGGAGGAGCTGCGACGTAGGGCGTATAGGAGAAAGTTATTTAACGAACAAGCTGTCAAATTAGTGTCACGCGCCCCTTCTTTGAAAGACGAAGTAGCGTGGCGGGTTGACCATTTGAATGCAAAATGGGAATTAGTAGAACAAATTATGGCACCTGTTGAACGGCCTGTGTCCAATCAACAGGATATAACAGCAGGTACTTTATTATATCGATAACAAAATCGGAGTTTCTAAATGCATTAGGTTTAAACATTAAATAATATGAAATGAAAACTTTACTGTACAGATTTCGAGCATGAAGTGAAATGTTTGAGAAAATGGCTTCGTGAAATGGAGTCTCACCTTCAACCCTTGAGTTTTCATATAGATTGGACTTTAGCAGAACTTGAGGAAAAAGCAGTGGAGCATATGGTGAGTTATATAAAAAAAACCACATTTTCTAGAACTTTAGATAATTTATTTAGTATGAAGAAGTATATTTATAGTAGTATACATAGATATGTGTTTAAATTTTGATTGTTCTTTGGGCATGTTTAGAGTCAAGGAATTTACTTGGTATATTTAGAAAACATTTCGTGAATGATACAATATATTACGTCACTGTATTCCTATGTACTCGATAGTAAATCGGTTAGAAGCGAAATTAAGTAAAACATGAAATAATAGTCGCGTCACTGTCAAATCGAATCTATAAGCGAATTTCTAAAAAAAAATGGAGTACAAACAGTGCTATATAGTTATTCACTTCACTAACTAATCGATACTATAAATATGTGCTTTCCGTTTACAAAGCCGGATACAACTCTTTATTGTTAACGGAAACGGCCGACAGCTGACACTTAAGCAGACGTACAGGATGAATGCTAGTAATAGTAAATAATTACGTTTATCATGCTTGAAATATAACTGGTACAGATCTATCAAAGCAATTCAAGAAAGCAAATGAAATTCACTTTTAAAGTAGGTGTAACTTTAAATGACTAGTTACTAATACCTGTGATATTCGTTGGGTTTTGCAATAATGCAATTTCGTCGTGAACCAAAGGTGGTAAAGTAAGTTTGTACTTTCGTTGGAACGAAACGATACAGCGCACGTTCAGTTTCAGCACGATTGTCTTTCTACTCCTTGTTGTGCGATCAGGTGGGCGTCGAGAACCCGACTCGTTCGTGTTGGTTCCGTATCTTTCTACCAAGTTCTCCGTCTTCTTCTGTCCTCCCTTTTCTCCCTCCTTAATTGCATCTCGACACAAAACATGATACGTACTGGGCTTCAGAATAATATGCATTAGTATAGTGCAGTATGCTATAACTTGGTAACATTTTAAGCTCATTTTGCTTCGACCTTTTCTTGTGCTGCATGTTTTGTAGGAGGAGTATTGCTATATTTTTTGAGATTCGGGATGTTGGGAACAATTTTTTTGTATATTTATATTTTATTCAGTATAATTTGGAAACATATAAGGTATTTGGTACATTGGGCATTACCAGTACTTTAAGATGTTGTCCATATCTTAGAATTGGTTAGTTAGAGAAATCAGAGACACATTTATTTAAAAATAATTTCAGACCTGATAAGGTGCTTGACATAATACATATTAGATATATGTATAAGAATGCATGCTTATATAGTTTACGAATGCATGACGAAGTATAGGCTTGCACGTCGTATCCTTGTAAATAATTTTTAAAAATGGTTTCGAAGTAAATTCGTTCGTATAGATAAGTCGAACATTAATTTTAGTTCTTAAATTAGCGTTAATCGTACATTCGACGTTGTTCGGATATTACTGTTATCGCTTTATAATCGATTATCGATAAAAACGAGCGGAAGCTTCGACCGAATAATTTAATTTTAGCTCTGCAAGCTGCTACGAATAAATTTGTTTACGTCTAGTTCGTTGCTCTCGACATAACCATATGGTAGGAGTGTTAGTTTAAAGCAAATTCCTGAGGAACTAGTCGAGAACACTAACACTTCGCTAGATCACCGTTTGAGACACTGTGTGCTTTCTGATTATTTTATAAATTGTTGTCGACTCTGTTGTAAAAAATAGTGAAGGCTAAAACTTGCCTCGGGGATGTGAACGAAGCTCACAGTTGCGCAATCTTCTCGTGGCGTTACAGTGGAGGTCGCTGAACTTCTTTATTTTCAACTCTAGTTTAACTTTTCAACCTTGAAAAAGAGAATTTTGCTCATTTCTTATAATAAGAGAAAGTAATAGAATAAGGTGGATCAGACCATCCACGAACCTCAACGATTTTAATTGAAAATTGTTAGATTGTCGAGTAAGTTATTTCATTTTCTTTATTTTGAATATAAATACAATTCTGGATGAACCACAGATATTTAATTGAAATATGTTTTAATCGATTTAATATCGTTTTGTCGACGAGGTACAAGTGCATTAATACCGCAAAAGATTATTTCGTTTAGAAATGAAACGCTTTAGTTCGTTGTTAAATTGTAAATACATTTAATACGTATCTCAATATTTATCGAAGTCAACCGAAATGGAACTGGGAATATTTGGCAAACAAGAATAGGTAGTGAAATATTCGCCAAGAGATTAAGCAATCGCTTAATTAAATATTCGATAAACAGATTGGAAGAAATGTTGGATTCCCAATTTTAACGGTAACTCGTGATCCGTGATGTAACCAAACAAGAAAAGAATAATATTCGCTTCGTTGCCTAGCGTAGAAATTCAACTCAATTTTCAAAACTCAATTTGTCAAAGTCAGACAGAATTTCTTCGACTTATTCGTTAACTATTAGATCATCGTGGTTTATCATCGTAACAATTTGTATTATCTGCACGCATGTTCGCTCGTTAGGCTTCGGGAAATATGTTGTTCAAGTCTAGCGCCGTAAATGGGAGATTTTTCAACCGTTATCGTTGCTCGGACGTCAAACTTATTAGTTCCGTACACGCGCGTTTGCATTTATCGTTACATCTATCACTACTCCAGATATTTAATCTCGCGGTGAATTAATTTCCCGTGCTCACGGTTCCCTGATTTAATGGAGAATAAGACGAAAGTCGGTGTTAAGGCCGCGCGACCAGAACGCTGATAGCACAAACAGAAAATGAAAGTAATGACACGAGTACAATAATTATCTATGTTGGGGCACGCGTAATTTATTTTGTGTCGCGGTAACGTTGCACGTTGTCAGTCGCATTACCGTTGTTCGATCTACAGAATTTCAGCCGACTAACGAAGATTGATGGCGATGCTCGCGTTGCTCAATGAAAATACGTGGCATTTGACCCTTACTCGTTGGAAGACGAATGTTTCCAAGAGGACACGCGTGATTAGGTATAGGTGCTCGTGTGTAATTTGACTTTCACTGGAAACTTGATACGGAGTGGACGTTGGCAATCATTCGAGGAATGTAAATGTAGTTTTAGAAGGGTTGTACGGTTCTTTTAATTACGTTACGAGTACGTTAATATCAGTATTAGGTAAATTTGTGGTAGTGTACATAGATGTCGTTTACTCGCTTTCATCATTCTGCCTTTCATCTTTTTGCACAAAACTGGTGGAACGCTCTGTCTCGTAAACAGAAAAGTACGTTGAATGAAATTCAACTTGATACTTAATTTAAAACGAAACGTGAAATCACTCGATCTTTCTAATATTTTTCTTCCACTGCCTTTAGAAATCCCGTCGCCTTTTCTTCGTACGCAGAAACGGCAAAACTCTTACTTTCTTCCGATAGGATCGATCGCTGTGATCTTGCCAGTGATCTTTCAACCTTTTCGCGCGTAGCATAAATTACAGTACCTATCGGCTCGAAGAACCAATATCACATTATCATTTACGCGGGCCGTTGAAAGGTTTATGCAACGCTCAATGGAGATTCCTGTTTTATTTAACTTTAAATTGTACGCTCGTTTGCATTTAAACGGCGCGGAGGAGGTGTTATTACAGATAGGCATCGGTATATCATAAATTGTTACGTGCGGTATGTTTGTTTTTAAAGAACCCCGCGAAACCGAACATTCATCGGTTTCATTCATCTGTCTGTGTGTAAATCAAGTATTTCGAAACACTGTGATTTATAAGTTTTAGACATTGTTATTTAAATGCTTGTCACTTAAATGCTTTTGAAACAATATAAGAAAGTACAAAATACTTCTTGTCTATTTAAGAAAGCACAAAATATTTCTTATCTGTTTGTAATTGTACTAGGTCGCACGAATAAAACGATAAAATTGTTTTAATGATTTTGTCAGAGGCTAACTAGTAGAAATGAATCAGATATTATTTCGTTTTCGAAATTCGGACAGAGAAGAATGCTCCTGAGAAAAAAAAAAAACCAAGTTACTGACACGTTTCAGGTCGACGGGATTATTTACTTCGCTTTAGAAGCAGATAGGTAGCATTGATGCTTCACTGGAGTCACTCCGCAAAAGGATTTAGTTTCTCCATGCGATACTCGTTCCACGATATGCAATCGTGACGGAGTTATTTCTAGTTCCTACGTCCTGAAATCGATATGAAACTTTCAGTGAGAGAATACATTGCGTCATTTAATCTGGTTTTAGCACGCCTCTAACTTTACGGACAGATTTAAACAATTCACTAGCCAATGTTTCATTTTGAACGAAAGTAAAGACAGTTAGATACGTGTGCGTTTGATTCATCTTTAGAAATTTTACTGAACTCGGAGAAAGGGAATTCCAAATTAATTTTTAACCAACTTCGAAAAGGAGGAGGTTACTCTATTCGACATTTTTTTTTTTTTATGTATGTATATATGTATGTTACTCGATTACGCTAAGATGGCTTGACCAATCGGGATGAAACCTGTTGCATCTTGTAGAGCATGTCTCCGTGGTGGTTCCATTATTCTTTTAAAGTTGCTAACCTACTCCCATGCATCTTGACTTAGGTGTTCATATTTCCGAGTAAAGAAATCGAATGTCGTTTCGATTAGAATGTCTTTTAGGAACGAGTATGGCGCTTAGAAAAGTACAACAATAATCTAATTAATAACTAATTAATTTTCATATCTTCGTTCTGGGATGCCGATGGACTCTTAGCTTAGCGTCGAAGGCTTACACTAAATATCGCGATAACGTACAACGCAGAAAAATTCAGGAAACTCTCCAACGTTTTCGCAGAAATCACTCGATTTATTTATAGTCCACCGCGAGCGAATTATGACCGAGCGCTCGCAGGTCTGAGACCTCATGGAACTCGCTGTGCGTACGCGTGATCCAACGGTACGGAATGACGCGACGCGTTACTCCAATTTCCGCGAGCAACGAGAGATGATCGGGACGCGTCGCGGAGCAACGGTATACGCGGTGCATCTGGAGCAAGTCGCGTCTAATTGTTTACCGAGAAGCGGTGAAGTGTCCGCAGGGTGAGAAGCGTCTCGGTGCTCTGGGTACCGCTACCTTGGGAGCAGAATTGTTACGTACCTTCCAGCTACTGGGTCACTATCACCGAAACGTGCTCGCTCGCCGATTTAACCTGTTTCAACGCCCGTCATGCACGTACGCGTTTAATTAACCCTTTCGCGGTACGATTTATCCTTCCTGCTCCGCGCGCCGCTAATCTACATCGACTTTGAATGTCCCGCCGCTGAATGTTACTTCTTATCTCGATCGCTCCAGATGTTTTTAAGGCCAGCCTGGGCGGAGAAGTCGTGGTGGAAAATCTTTTGCTGTTTCAGTAGAATGCCGATTTCGTTCCACGGAATGAACTCGGTGACTCGTGACTTCGATTTCTGTGCGAACGAGCTGGGGGCGTCGAGAAGGGTAGATGGATACAGGTTTATTTCTGGGATTGGTCGTTTTTTTTGGGGGGGGGAAAATTTGGATTTAGAGATGTTGAAGGAGAATTTGTGGAGTCGAGATAAATTATGATTGATGGAAATGGGGTACAATGAAAGAATAAAATACTAATTTTATTAAAAAAAAGTTTTGATCTGTAGTCTGCGAGGAGCTAGTCAAGACTAAAACGCTCTATACACGATACGATATGTCGTACGACTTGTCGACAATTTTTCCTCTAAAAACTTTGACTTTTTCCCCATTTTGTGACACAAATCTCTCAACGAGTCGAATTTCTTTTCATTTTTAAATTTTCAGTGTTAGTTTGTATCGTTATTACCGTATCAGCTGTGTATTACCATATCAGTTGACTGTTTGATTTCTATGAAACTGAATTTAATCGCACAAAAAAATTCTTAAAGAGGACAGCCACCGTATAGCCGTCATAATTAATATTCTTTTTTGCAATCTATACATATTTTCCCCGATTAGAGCAAATAGCATAATGAATTTTCATCATTTTCACTCGCACGTCAATTAAAAATTACAAATAGTTTCTTCAATCACGTCATTGGCCAGCTCCCTTTAATAATTATAATCGTATTCGTCAAAGAGCCATCGAAATTGCCCTGTATAATTACGTACACGAAAATCTCTTCTGGCATATACGCATATAATATGTACAGTGTATATTATACACGTGTAATGACCTACACGGTGTCCCAAAAAACCGCTGACCTTCTCGACACGCGTTTAGATGTTCATCAAACTTTCTCGTGGTAGCGCGTAACGAGGGTGAAATTGAAAGCGAAATGAGGAAACTGATCGAGCGCGGCGATGTTTGATGAACTCTGTCCAGCAATGTAAACATCGTTGAACTCTACCCAGAAGGTATTCGCTAACCATTACGATTTAGACAACTCGTAATTTAATACGCCAATGGATACGTCGAATTGAATATGGGTTTTTTTCGTCCATGAACGACTATTTGCTTCAGCGAATCCGACGGTTACTCATCTTCTCGCGAAGTTTGTCATCAATCTGAGCGACGAGCATGATGGGGGCGAAAGTTTAACACGTTGACTCTCGGATTGATACCGGTGAAAATTTTCACGAGGATTAACCCTTTGCGCTCGGGGCATTTTTCTATAGAATCAAATCCAGTCCATTTTTATAATAAGTTTCTGTGAAACCAAAAATTCTACTTCGAAGAAAAACATCTACGAACGTTCATGACTCGATGTATTATTATTTCAATTAATAATTAGTTGTATTCTGATGTAAGTGAAGTTGAAATTGTACGTTCACAAAATCACTCTTAAATTACATACGTCGCCCTAGAGACGCCACCCGAGCGAAAAGGGTTAAACTTTGTTTCGAGGCGGTTGAAAACGTTATTCGATGTAATATTTGTGTTAGTACTTAATTTTTCGACACGATTAAATCTAAGAATTTTATTCTGATTCGTTTCGTTTCACATCTCGCCTTCGAATTTCTTTCATTTTGTTATTAATTAACTCTGTCGTTCGTATACACCCATAAATACGTGGGCACTTTCTCGATAGAAGTGAGTGTATATCAATTATTCATCGAAAGTAGTAAGTGTCCATATAAATATTTATGGGCATCCCTGTGTAATTTCATTCGTCACGATATTACCGTTAATCGTTTGTAATCGTGTAAAGCTGCCAGGAATCGCCGACGCGTTATATAATATCGCATTAAAATAATCATCTGGCATCGATAATAACGGTAGTCGTGCTACTCCCTCGTAGTTTCCATCCTCGTTCGGCGCGTGACGATCGGTCGCGTGCTGCGAGCATTGTTCGTTGCGATAATCCATTGTGTTGCAACGGGAAAAAGTTACAAAACCAATCGACCTTTTCGATTTTAAGCGAACCCCGCCTCCCTGAAATGCTACACCTAATCGAGTCGACGTGTGACAGGTTCGATCGAAAATTGTTGCACGCACGTAGAATCGTATAAAGACGGGTGAAATTTCATTTTATTTATTTTTTTATCATTCGATGAGGAATGATGGTGTAAAACGAGTAGCAATCTATATTCGCGATGTTTATTGGATGGAATTGGTTAATTATTAATGTTTTGTTCGTGGAACGTGAGATTAGGTATTGCTCTACAGGGTGTCCCAAAAGTCGGGAAGGAGCCGGAAATGGGGGGTAGCTGAGACGATTCTGAACAATAATTTCCTTTGCAAAAATGTCGGATGGGGCTTCGTTAAGGAGATATTAAGCGAAAACCCCGACCAATTAGAGCGCGAGTAGACCGTTGGAGCGGCCGCGGTAGCGAAGGCTACGCGCTGGCGGCCGCGCTTGCACGCGAACAAGTGACTCGACGTGCATCGAAGGACATTGGACGCGGCCGCTCAGCGCGTAGCCTTCGCTACCGCGGCCGCTCCAACGGTCTACGCGCGCTCTGATTGGTCGGGTTTTTTTTATTAATATCTACTTAACGAAGCCCCATCCGACATTTTTGCAAAGGAAAAAGTTGTTTCAAATCACCTCCCGAATCACCCCTTTCAAGGCCCTCCAACATTTTTGGGACACCCTGTATATCTTAAATTCTAATTATATTTATCCAGGAATGATTAGAACGTTGTTTTTATTTTATTTAACGCGTCGTTATTATTAGTCTTATTTGTTTCGAAAAGTATTTCGAATAATATTTTATTTTATTTGATGATTATTTTTCAAAGAGAATTATATTCTCATGGTTTCATGATATATTAGGCCATAAAACAATCATGGTAAAAATATAAGTGTATTGTTCAGATTAAACGTAATTTATTTTATCGTAACTTTCAATTGACTGTAGGTAGTGGATGTAGACAAAGACATTGGTACCGCGACGAACACGAATGGATGTAAATATTTACATCGAAAGCAAAACAAGTCATCTTAGCTAATTACAAGTCGAACTTGTGATGTTTGTTGTGAGGTCAGAGATCACGTTCTACTTGAAAGTAAATTTCAAAAATTAAACAAGTTGAATTGCAGTCAGTTTAAATTTACAATAAAATAAATTACGTTTTACTCGAACAATATATTCGTTCTTTCTTATCGCGATAGTGTTGTTTCTATCGTGAATTGTACATCTAATAAATTCCATCAAAAATTCCATCGAACGATCGCGATCGACTCCAAACAAATTAGATGACACTGGCGCATCGAACGAGACAGCAATTTGCACGTTGTTGCGCAAGATCGATCGGCATTTTCGAATCTGAAATTCCCAGCCCGTGAGGGGTGGCGCGATCCCAGCGTCTTTAATCGATGTCCGGGATGCTGCACGACAGAATCGTTAGATCCACGTTGTTAATCGGACGACGGGTCGAGGAGCGGCCGGTTACTATCTCGGCTAGCAGCGAATGACAATGTAGATCGTGGAAAGTCACCAGTCACGACTCGCAACTTTCCCCCCTGTATTCGTGTGTCTGGCTACCAATGCGAAATGCATTTTGAATTCAGCATTTCATTGTTAGACAAGTTCGAGTGAAAGCGTGACGAAACTGGTATCTAATGAAGCATAATGCTCGCCGGTGACCACACTTTTACATACATTGTACCGATGCGAAC